TAAATATTCAGTGTCTTGCTTAAATAGAAACACAATACATTTGTCGACTGGAACGGATTAATGCTTTTTTAGTGAAGAAAATGTAGTCCATTCTACACTTGCCCAAGACTACATCCTTTTTTTTTTTTTTTTTTTCGGTACGTGGGCCTCTCACTGTTGTGGCCTCTCCCATTGCGGAGCACAGGCTCCGGACGCGCAGGCCCAGTGGCCATGGCTCACGGGCCCAGCCGCTCTGCGGCATGTGGGATCTTCCCGGACCGGGGCACGGACCCGTGTCCCCTGCATCGGCAGGCGGACTCTCAACCACTGCGCCACCGGGGAAGCCCCAAAGAATACATCCTTTAAGAGAAGAGGTCATAACCTCTTACAGGTGTTTTCCCAATTTGATCAGTGTTTTTCAGTGTCATTCATGACTCAGTCCTTTCTGACAAAAATCAAAATGTAGCTACTAGCTATTGGTGCATACTGTTGAATATTAGGAGAGTAAAAGACTGAAGATAGGTTACTCAGTGATGGAAACAGATTATGACCTGACTTGGAAAAGCTGTAATACAGGGAAAAAATTGATCTGGAACCAATAATTCATAATATGTAAACACTACACATTATTATTAGGCTTTTTCTTTCTATACACACTTAATGTGCTTTCCAACCAATCCTGTTCAGGCAAGCTTGGAATAATGGAGTTGTTACTTGCTTTCGTGCCCATGGCAGGTCTTCGAGAAATGACCGAATGATCATCGGGGAAGGGTCTGTTTCACGTCTGGTTCTCTTTGTTCATCTTGAGTCCTCCCCAGCAATCCTCCATGCTGTGTCACTGGAAGCCAGGTACCTAAACATATCAGATCTGACCTCAATTTTAAATCCATCATCAAATCAACTTGCTCTAGTTTGCAGGTGGATCCACTGCTCTCCTATGTTGCAAGATACATGGGCTTTGTTATTGCTGCGTTCTTCAGAATCAGAATAGTCTTTGGTTGGCTTCTGGAGGTGGAAATTATATTCTGGATGATTGAAGTTGCTTGCTATTTAACAGTCAGATGGATGGGTACGCCGAATTTTTTGAAGGAGAGCAAAGCAAGTATCAAATGTACTGCTACTGCCTTAATGTGACTTATCATGGATCACTGCCTGTTTATTGAATCGAAGTGTTTATTTTTATAACTATTTTATAAGGCACGGTATATGGTTAAGAGTAAAATCATTGCTTGGAAACTTTCTTCATTTCTGACATCCTTCAATTCTGTTTCAAGATCAGAGAGAACTTCCCACTCGGCAGAAAGTATTATTTATTGATGTGGGATAAATTTTCTCTAAGAACAAGCCAGGACTACTTAATCTGAGCAGTACTGAGCATAGGAACCGAATGGCTTGAATAACAAAACATATCAAAATGTGAATCAACACTGTCAGATGCAAGCTTTTAAGAACTTTAATTGATATAATTATCATTAGTATGCAATACGTCTTACAACAAATGTAGATACAATGAGATCAAATATCAAAGAAGTTGCAAGTTTTTCCATCTTGAAATGATGTTGGCTAACTCACCCCAAAAAAGCAAATCTGGCATTGGTCTCTTGGTTAGCACTATTACCAATATCAACTAGCACTTTAAAATCAAAGTTGAAATGGTACATTCATTTGCCAAAAAGAGATAAAAGGCAAAGAAGGTGAATCAACGTGCAAATTAGCATCTGGCCCAGTTGCAAAATTCATTTCCCAGATGCGAGGGATTGAACCATGCACCCTTGCAAGCAAGATAAAGGGCAAACAGATGACAGTAAACCAAAATCAAATCCACAAAGAACTCAGAAAACTTTGGGATGGTAAAGGCCAGGTCTACTGCTGTTAGCGTTCAGGTATCCATATGTGTTACCCTAACTCAATAGTCTGTGAGACCTATGTCCTGGGCCATCCTTTCATTCAGGGATGGAGACCATCCTTCATGGTCCCAGGAGTCAGGCGGCGGCACTGGGGGTTAGCTTGGAGTTGTAACAGCTGTCTGTATCTAGTTACTATACAGCTGTCATTTCATAGATTTAAGTAAAAACAACACATCAGTCAAACAAGAAACTGAGATCACTTACACATTTATGTAATACTTAAAATGTCTATAAATATTTTTCTCCAGAAATTGAAAACACTGTAGACATGATTTCATTAATCCTCACAACACATTTGTGAGGTAGCATGGGGTGAGGTCCATAGGACAGCATCACGCCCGACTAAGAAATGAAGACACAGACGTCCAGGGAGGGCAGGAGACTTCATTGGGGCCACGGTAAAAGAAAACAAACTTGAACCCCACTCTGTCACTTGCAATCTGTGACCTAGAAGAGGCTGCTGGCCTCTCTCCTGCTCTGACATTCTCTCTAATGCATTATGACTAGTCCGGTCCCTGGAGAGTACATGGTTGTTTTAGACCAACTGGAGCCATTTCCCTTAAGTAGGCCTGAACAGACTCGCTCCCTGAGGTAAAGGACGTCAGTTATTGGCATATATTTCAGGGGTGTGTGTGTGTGTGTGTGTGTGTGTGTGTGTGAGTGTGAGTGTGTTAAGCAATATTTGTTGAATGCAGTTGTTAACGTTTTTGGCCAACTCAAACATAGAAAAATGCACTTGGCAAAACAAGGTTCAACCCATCGGTATTTTACACTAACATAACAAGGAGTGTTAGTTTATGGGAAGCTGTCACCTTGCTGAATGCATCTGCTGTAGGTCCAGATCCCTCTCTTTACCCGAAGGATCTGGAAATTAATAAGAGCAACCAACCCATCAAGTGCTCTTGTACAACAGCAGCCTTGGTAGGGAAA